GGCCTGGCGTGCTGCGATTCATGGGGTTGCAAAGAGTTGGACACTGAGGGATTGAACTGAACTGAACTGATGCATTTTGACCCAGCAATTCCACCTCTGGAAATTTATCCTAGCATAACAAAAAACATGTGTATATGTGGTTATTTGCTATGGAATTATTCCTAATAGCAAAATTGTACCGATGTCAATAATTGTTAACAAAGTACAGATCTATTAAATCGCCAACTACATAAATCAATACAAACATACAACAGAATACTCTATAGTAAAATAAAGACAGAGGATACAAATAAAAAGTCATAATAGATTGAAAGACTTTTAATATTGCTTAAATGTTAAATGCCATCCAAAATTATATACAGATTCAATGCCATATCTATCAAAATTCCAAAGGCTTTTTTTTTTTCAGAAATAGAAGACATCTTAAATTATGTGTGCAATTTCAAGGTGCCCCAAAGAACCAAAACAACCTTGAAAACAAGAAACGAGTCTGGAGGTGTCTGCTCTTCCTTATTTCAAAACATGTTGCAAAACTACAGAAGCAAAAGAGAGCAGTGCTGGCATTGAGACAGAAATATAAACCAATAGAACACAGTAGATGACCCAGAAACCATGGGGTATGTGGTTAAATGATCTTTGACAAGGACGTAAAGATCACACAGTGGAGAAAGAACTGTGTATTCAACAAATAGTGTTGGGAAAACTAGATATCCACGTGAAATGAAAATTGCACCATTACCTTACACTGCTTACAAAAATCAGTTCCAATTTTGCCAGATGAAAAATTTCTGGAGAGAGATCTGTAGCAGAACAACATGAACATAATCAACTCTACTGACTACATACTTAAAGATGGCTAAGATCATTATTATTATTTTTTTTTGCCAAAAAAAGACAAAGAAAGCTCTTATAGATTTACTAGAAATATTCTGAAGATTTATTAAGTGAAAAAAGGGAAGATGAATAGTGTGTATAGTATTCTACCTTTTAAATAAAAATGCGGACATTAAGACCACTGGTTTGCTTTGGCTAGAATACACAGGAACATATTTTGAAAGTTTTCTCAAGAAACTGACTCTTGATCTGTGAGGTCCGGAATGTATATGGTGAGAACTCCACAAATGGAATCGGGGTACAGGAAGGTGACATTTTACACTGTTGACTTTTTTTATTCATTTTTAAGTCAGGAGAAAGTAGTGAATTTCTAAAATTATGCTGAAGACAATGAGATTTGTTTTTTAATTGTTATGAAACCAATAGATTGGAAGTACTAGTTGGATGAAAGCACCATTTAGAAAAATAGTGTTGAGCAAAGGTGGACTTTGGTTTGGGTTTGATATTCTCCACGGGGTTTAGCTATCAAGGCTATGTTCTGGGAATGTGGCCGTGGAAGCTGGTGACCGTCTGGGCTGGAGGAAGGGACTCCTGGAATACTGACACACGAGTGCTGAGAACATGGGCCATTGGTGCCATCTTCCAGACGGCTGCCCAAGTCCTCAGGAGACAGGAGATGGTGACAGGGCAGACCAGAGGCTGACCACTTTAGTGAGGGAGCATACCTGGGAGGCTTGTCCATGTCCACAATGAGGACACAGCATGGTACCCTTGGAGGAGCTCGCCTGAGTGGAGCAGGGTGTTTGCAGAGGGACTGGAATAGAAACGATGCCAGGCTGCAACAGGAATGAAGCGGCTGTCTCCCCTCAGTACCCCCTTTGCTCATCGGCAAAGTGGGGCTGTTGAGAGGGTGAAATGGGTTACCACCCGTAAAATGCCAAGAACAGGGCAGACAGTGCAGCAAGTGTTCCACACAGCCAGGGAGAGTGAAAACCGCCCCCTCTGCCAGGGCTGCTGGGGACACGGCGTCTTCTGGAGCAGGCGGGAGTCCGTAAGAGCAAGGTGGAATGGGCAAAGAGAAGTTGAGCAAAGAGGGGATTCTTGGCTCAGTGGGAGCTTTGAGAGTGGGGAGGAGAGTAGCTGGTGGGGGCAGTGGGAGCTTGGGGTGCAGGCGATGAGCGGGAAGGGGGGACCTGAGGCTGCAGCTGGCGTCAACAGGAATGCAGGGCTTTGAGGGTCTTTGCCCAGAACCAGAACCTCAGACAAGCTCGCAGCACTTGTCTGTGCCAACTCTCTGTGGTCGGGTACTTGGGACGCCTTGTTGGCAGGACTTTGGGGTGACAGATGAAAGGGCGCAGGAGCACCATTCTGCAGCCCTTCTGACTGCAGTGGGTACTGCACACGCCCGCGCAGGGGAACAAAGGGCGGACACTTCACAGAAAGGATGTGATGGTAACAGAAGACTTCTTGTCACTGTGGGAACTGTGTACTTTGCCCAGTCAGTTTTTCTTTCCTTTGTGGGGATAGGAAGTACAACGTTCTAAATGAATAAGAAGGGAAAAAGGATAATAACATTCCCAAACTTTACAAATAAGTGATTAATAGAAAGTGAAATAGAAGTCGCTCAGTCGTGTCCACCTCTTTGCGACCACATGAACTGTAGCCTACGAGGTTCCTCCGTCCTTGAGATTTTCCAGGCAAGATCAGTGGAGTGGGTTGCCATTTCCTTAAATGATTTATATATTAGGGGCAGATTTCTGCTGTCTTTTCCTGTACAGTTTATATCTATGATAAAAACTGGGTGAAATTATCTTGTACTATTACAGACATGAAAGACATACAAACTATTTTTACCCATATTTCTTCATGTGCCAAAATACTGTATTTCCTTTTTAGGGAAATACTATTGTACTCTCTTCTATGATAGGTTGCTTAGTACCAGTACCTGAAAAATTGCTATAAACTTACTTCCCAAGGACATTTGCTACATCTGAATGGAACTTGTTACCAATGCACAATGTTTAAGCCACAATAGATTATGGATTTTATTTAGTTTATTCACTAGTACTTGTACATACAATTGAATGTTATCTAGCCTATTTTGGCTTGGTGGCTTTATGAAGAGATACCTAATTCAAGCATTGTTAACTAAATTTAGGAATGTTTACAAGACATTTTGGAGAAGGAAATGGCAACTCACTCTAGTATTTTTGCCTGGGAAATCCTATGGACAGAAGAGCCTGGCAGGCTATAGTCCGTGGGGTTGCAATTAGTTGGACTTAGAAACAGCGTGACTGAGCTTGCACAAGATATTTATTTCTAAGGCACTAGGGATGCCCTGCAAACAACCCCCTCAGAAGGCCGCAGAGGCTAGTATGAGAAGCTCAGTGTCATCCATTAAATTTAGAGCTGTGTCTTTGTGGAATCTGAAGGAAATGCCTCCCTTTGACAGTCTTTTCTTTCTTTTCTTTTTTTTTTATGAGCCAGAAAGAACTGATTGTATCTTTGGAAACCTGTCCAGCCAGCATGAAGGGAGAGACAGATAAAGCCTATCTACATACAAATGTTTGAAAGCACAGCGTCAGCAAGTCAATCCTGTAATCCTCGTCCTCCGTTGCTTCAGTTTCCTTTGTAAGTTTTCTTATAACCTCTCTGGTGTTGGAGAGTCCTATAAAGTTCAATGAGCGCTTGCATAACATTCTGTAAATTGAATTGTCTTTGCATCTGTGGGTAAAGCACAGATTAGCTGGGGGCAAAAGTTGTAAGTGAATAAATCAAGTGGCCCGATGCCTGATCCACACGCTCCAGCTCCGGGACCTGATGCTCTTTCCTAAGCAGGATGTGTGTGTTACATGTAACAGTGTGAAGTACTCACCCGATTCTCAAAGGGTTGCCAAGATAAAATCGCGGGCACAGGAGTCAAGCATCTCATTTCATCCTTCTTTTCAGGAGGTATGAGATTCAACAAAGAACTCCAGTTTCTGCTCTGGTGATTGTGAGCATCTTCCCAGGCTGGGTGACCCATGGCCACCATCCTTGCCCGTGCTGGTGGTGCTAATGTAGGTTGTAGGACTTGGCCCAGCACGCTCCCTCACGTGGTGGACAGTGGCTTCGGTAAGAGCTTTCAGGAGGGCATCCTTGGAAGTTCCCAGCCCAGGACTGCCTCCTCACATGCGACTTCAGGTCGCATCACTTGGTGCCTGCAGTAGAGGCTGAATCATTGCATTTTCCTCCTCCAAGAAAGTCTGGCCCTGGCTATGCCCTGCCTAGTGGTAAAGGTGTTCCCACTGAGAGGATGCGCGAGGAGAAATCCCACGGGCGACACATGGAAATCCTGTTAGTGATGCCATGGCAAGTGCAGACAGAAAGGAGGAGGCTGAAGATGCTGCTGGAACGGTTCAATTAGCAGGTAACACACACTCTAAATCATTGAGGCAGTAAATCTTGGACCGCATCTCACATGCTGAGGGGCTTCAAAATTTTCTCCGTTCCATTTTTATCATGGGGGTGGCAAACAAATAATTATGTAGATTAGAACCAAAACCTCACCTAAAAGACAAATTCTTGGGGCTGGCATTAACATTTCACTGATAATGCTCTTTTCATAAATCTTGGCATTCCTGTTAAATTATTCATATGGTGTTCTAGGAGAACATATGACAATTTTTTTTAAATGTATTCTTCACAGCATCTTGCAATCAGCCAGAATGTCACTCCATGGGTTATTTTTCTGAATCTCGCCATCTGAATGTTCTGAATAAATTTTACTTTATTCAATAAGTTTCACTCTTGTTTCCAAGCATTCCTTTTATGATTTCTATAGCTTCACTTCTATTGTATTACCCTCCTATTTTATTTCTTCCCCATCGTCTTGATCTCCCTTTATATCTGCCGTGCGCTTCACTTTACTGTTTCTGCAATCTATCATTTCAGCTCTGAAAAAAAAAAAGGATATTTTCTATTATCTGATCTTCCCTAGATGTACTTAACTTTGTGGCACTCATATTTCTCTGAGTGACCTTTGTGATCTAACTCTTTGATGCTACATCTTGAAAGTGCCTCTGACAGATTCAGCAGGTGCCCTTTTAATTCCCATCCTGGAACCACCCTGCCTGTCTTGAATACACTTCCTGCCAGCCCCGTATTGTCTGCATTTCCTAAATCAGAGGCAGCACAGCCACAACACTGACGGGTGCTCCTCCCAAGGTGCCTCGTGCATTTTTCTTCTTGGAATTGTCAGATGACTTTTTCGTTGCTATTTGCCTAAGGAAATCTAACGTCAGTGTAATGGCAACATATAGACATCCTCATGTAGCCTCCATCTGGGCAGGTGGGTAGATATGCCTTGCAAACCATCAGCTGAAGTCTGCCTTTTCAGGTTAAGAAATCCTCCTTCTTCTCCATGTGTATCTGGTCATGTCCCTCTTCTGAATCCCAAAGTCCTGCCTTGGGACTGTCCGGCCAGGAGGGCCGTCTCTGGATTTTGGACCATACCATTTTCTACCAAGGTTGGTCTGAACCGTGACCCATTTTTCAAGCCAGTGACAGCCCTGTCCTGCCCCACTGACCCGATACAGCACAGGGTCCTGCCCTGTTTTCCAGGGGGTGCAGATGAGCCCCTGAATCCAAAACCGAATCCCAGAGAACGTCAGAAGGCTCTCAAGAGCTGCCTCCCCACCACCATCTGGAACCAGTATGGCCCCATTTGAATAGTTTCAAGCTCTCGTCTGGTGCATGATATTCACTTTTTTCAATAAATTAGAATTAATCATTTAATAACTAACAGATTAGAAAGCCTCTAGTATCATTCTTAGGTAAGTCACATTCAAATAAGTCCCTTGGTCTGTAACAAAAAGATTTCTATTATGAACCTCACTGAACAAGGAACTCTGTGGTTCCTTTAAATAAACAGTTATACAATACCTGAATGATTGGTGACTTTTAATGGGAAGAAGTAAGAAAAGTGGGTGAGGCAGGACCTGTCTGACTGATGATGCATTTTGGGGTGATTTTGAGGCCGTTTATAAAGAAGATCTTTCTCCATAGCCGAAAATAACGGCTAACAACAAGTCTAATGCTATCCTAGAGGGTAGAAGAATTAAGTGTTTGATTATGTTAATCCTATTGAGATGATGTTAATTTTTTTTTAATTCAAACTGAATAGATGAATAAATTTTCTTCTAGCTCTGAGAATGGGTATAAACAACGTGACTGCCCGGGGATGACCTTGGGGAAGATACAGGGAGCGCTTCCAACATTTGAGATTCAGAGTTTTCAGTCCTGTCAGCTTCTGTGGTCAGCCCACTGCCCACTAGGGCTGCACTTGAAACTGTGAGTAGTACAGAGTCTTGCCTTCAGAATAAATCAACTTCTTCCCTGGGTTCCGTTTTCATTTCCTCTCCACCAGACCCTGTCATCACCATGGCTACTGAGACTGCAGATTGCTTTCAACTTTCCGAAAGCTCAAACTCTGATACCAACCACAGTTCTACCAGTGCTCGTATTCCTTTATTCCTTAATGTGTTGTTCTTTCTCTCTTTACCTTCCTGTCATCTCATCTCTCATCTAGTCCTTCCAATTTCCTCAATATCAGGTCAGACACTCACTGATGCTTACATTTCAACTGTTGAGGCTGCATCCCCAAGGTTGACCGTTATTGCCACACGGTATCAGTTCTCCTGAGATGACCCCCTCCACCTCTGAAAGCAAGGTTTCCAACCCTCATCTCCCCCCTCTCTTTTCTCTCCCATCTCTGCTTTTGGACGCCTTCTCTCGCATCTTTGCTTGTGGGCTTTGCAACAAAGCCTTTTGTATCAGGCTCTCTGGAGAGTCATATATTTGGTTCACGTAAACTGAGTTCTTTCCATTACACTGACCTGAGCACTGTTGCCAAAGTGGACTTGGAAGATATCCAGGTGCAGAGTGAAGGGTATAAGTGAGGAACACAGACCAAAGAACTGTCCAGACTGATGGAACAGCAGCTTGTGGTATACCCCCAACTTAGGGAGCCTGGCAGGGAGCTGAGCCAGGTCTGGGGATCGGGGAGTGGAGTTGAACCCCAAAGTTGTTTCTTTGCTCTGCTGGGCCATGGGGCGATTCAACACAGAAGGCAAAACAGAACACCAAGACACAACGTGGATGTAAAATGATGAGATGAACCCTGTCAATGAGAAAAGCATGGAATTTGCAGGTTTGGGCTCTCTGGCAGGTAGGTTGGTGTATATCTGAAGCTTAGTAGAGAAAACTGAAAAAAAAATTAGATTTGAGAGTTGCCAAAACCATATGCATTAATGTAGGCTCGACTTTTAAATTTCAGAAACTGTTCTTTAAGGAAATAGATAGCAGTGAAGATTTTAAAACATGGCATCTGGGATAGGAACAAGGCAGATCTCTTGGAGAAAGAAAGCTGACACTAACATTCGGAACTCCTCCAGCACCAAGGACTCTCATTCTGCTGCCCTTGAAAGTCAGCGCTATTCATTCTTCATTCTGTTTCTCCATCCACGTGGTACCCATGTCTTGTAATCTTACAAGAGACATTTCCAGCTCAGTTCGCAAACCGACTGGTTGCTTCTAGGTACCAAACACAAATCCTTAGGAAAAGAATCTGATTTTTGCAGCCTGGGCCATATGCCCAATTCTTGCCCAATAAGCTACAGATAGGGAGATGGATTACAGTGTCTGAGTAACTTTAGCCCAGGGTCTTCCTTGAGAATAAAAAAGTGATGCCAGGAAAGGACACTGGCTGATAGGATGAGTAGCTCTCCACCCAAGTGATAAATAACTCCACTGTAAAAATGAAGGGGTAACTGTGAGTGTGGATGAAAAGGAAGTATTTATACCAGTTGCAAATAGAAGGGGGAAAAGTGGGAACAGTGGCAGGCTTTATTTTCTCAGGCTCCAAAAACACCGCTGATGTTAACTACAGCTATGGAATTAAAAGACGCTTGCTCCTTGGAAGGAAAGCTATGACCGGCCTAGACAGCATATTAAAAAGCAGAGACATCACCCTGCAGACAAAGGTCTATAGAGTCAAAGCTATGGTTTTCCCAGTAGTCGCATACAGATGTGAGATTGTTCAGTTACTCCGTTGGGTCTGACTCTTTGTGACCTCATGGACTGCAGCACACCAGGCCTCCCTGTCCCCCACTATCTCCCATGGTTTGTCCAAGTTTATGTCCATTGGATCGGTGATGCCATCTCATCCTCTGACCCCTTCATGGATCACTGCCTTATCATGGCAAAAGGACTTTCATAACTCACTGAAGCTATGAGCCATGCCATGTAGGGCCACCCAAGAGGGATGGGTCATAGTGGAGAGTTCTGACAAAATGTAATCCACCGGAGGAGAGGATGGCAAACCATCCCAGTATATTGCTGTGAGAACCCCATGAACTGTATAGAAAGACAAATGTGAGAATTGGACCATATAGAAGGCTGAGCACCAAAGAATTGATACTTCTGAAGTGTGGTGCTGGAGAAGGCTGTTGAGAGTCCTTTGGACTGCAAGATTAAACCAGTCAACCCTAAAGGAAATTAACTCTGAATATCCATTGCCAGGACTGATGCTGAAGCTCAAGTTCCCATACTTTGGCTACCTGATATGAAGAGCTGACTCACTGGAAAAGACTCTGATGCTGAGAAAGACTGAAGGCAAAATGCGAAGGGGTGGCAGAGGATGAGATGGTTAGGTAACATCATTGACTCAATGCACATGAATCTGAGCAAACTCTGGGAGATAGTTGAGGACAGAAGAGCCTGGTGAGCTACAGTCCATGGGGTCACAAAGAGTGGGACACGATTTGGCAACTGAAGAACAACAACAATACTAATTGAAATACATCAAGAATCTCATGGTTTTTTTTTTTTTTCTCAGCAGTTCTTTCTGCAATAAATTGTGTTTTCAGTTTTGCTTACCTACTTAATTTTTACTCATTCTTTAAGCATCAACTTGAAACCTTTCCTTATAAAAATGTATGTAGTTGCTATTCAAAGAGATCACCTACTTTTCTGAATTTGAGCATAATTCTATCCCTTTGTGTATTAAATCATTCATGGGTGTGTTTCAGTCTACATCCTCTGAACTTCATTTGCTGTGTAAATAGGTCATGCTTTATTTATCTTTGTGCCTTATGTTTCTTCACAGTCACTAGACCAACCCATAAGTGCCTCCATCCAAGTGTAAGCCCCTCGAGGAGGGTGTTTATCGCCTACTGTCCAGTCCTAGCAGTTGTGACGGCACCTGGCAGAACAGGGAAGGGCAAACCTTCACCTGAGGACTTGCTGAGCCATCAGTCCCCACTGTAATTACTGATGCATCTTGAGTCCCTACCGTAATTACTGACACGTCTGGAGGTCTGGAGTTAAGCTGACCAAGTCAACCATAAAACAGAGATTTGTTACAAAAAAAAAAAAAAGAAAAGCTCACGGTTTCTTAAAGATGATCTTAAATTTTCTAGAAAATGAGCTTTCTTTTACTTTATTCCAATTCCAGAATCCTAGATGGATCCTGGATTCACATAAATGAATTCTCACTTGAAGCATTAGCTTATAAGATTAACTCTAGAACATATGATACTAAGTAAAATATAAAGTTGCTTTTTGATGAAAAGATACACCACACACACACACACACACACACACACATTAGTCTACTAAATATGAATGGAGAGCCTCTTATTTCCCATAACTCACTTTTATAGAATCTGTAATTTAAACTGACCTGCGTCTACTGTGGGAGAGAGCTTTGGCGATGCCATAACACTGTCTTGTGCCAGGAATGGGGTCGGCATAGATGGGAAACCTGTTCCCTCTGCCTGGAGAGTGAAGGGAAGCCAGGGAGGGCAGTGAGGACAAGGTAGGTGTCCTACGTTTGCTAAGTTCTTGAAGTGGACCACCTGGGGAGAAAGGACACTCTAGTCAATGAAAGAGGAACCTGCCAAAGCCTGAAGACAGGTAGCAGTTTTTCTGGCACATCAACCCTTTATGGAAGATTGGGCTTCCCTGGTGGCGCAGAGAGTAAAGAATCTGCCTGCAGGGCAGGAGACCTGGGTTTGATTCCTGGGTCAGGAAGATGCCTTGGAGAAGGGAATGGCAACCCAGTCCAGTATTCTTGCCTAGAGAATCACATGCACAGAGGAGCCTGGTAGGCTATAGTCCATGGGGCTGAAAAGAGTCAGACATGACTGAGTGACTGATGCTTTATACTTTGATTAGCCCAAGATCGATTCCCCTCGTAGAAGTGCAGGAGGCCTCCCCAGTTCAGGGCCCTGACTCCTTTAAGAGCTTTGCATGTTGACTCTGTGATTTCATGGCCCTGGGAAGAGCTCCAGTCATAAAAAATTAAGACGCAAATATCTTATTTCATAATTTCAAAGAATATGAAATATAATCTCAAAAATCTCTGAGACACAATTTACGTCAGCCCACCTATCTTCATATGTAATAGATTTGACCATGAGCTGGGTACCATGCTGGGTGGATAGTAGGAACCAGGACAGACGGGGTCTCTGGCTTCATGGAGATAACAGTCTAGTGCCAAGGAGAGCTCCAGATATGGCACCACCTGGGAAGAGGAATTGCTTCATTGTGTTGCTTTTCCATTACTGCCATAATGATTTATTATAAATTCAGCAGTATAATACATTACAAATGTACTGTCTTATAGCTCCGTAGGTTAGAAGCCTAGCAATTTCACTGGGCCAAAATT